CAATACATAAAAGCTTACTAATGTAGAACAAGAAGTAAGAAGACGACCACGAGCCTACCACAGAACGTCAAAAAACGCAAACCACCAAGAACAGGACAGCACGAGGCCTTTGGCACCAACAGCTTATACTCACATTACATCAACATTTATACAAAAGGATAACAAATTCGAAACACCCCATTTCGCCCCCCTCCCCCCGCCAAAAAAAAACACGTGCGACCATTAGCGCAAACAATACACACTCGTATAACACCTACGTCCCCATAAAGAACAGAAATTCGAAAACACATTATATACATTACCCATAATAGGATAATTTCTAGGAGAATAACAATAATTTAAAATAAGCTTTACTAATTTTAGACAAGTGTTTCAATATATTTACACATTAATCCTTTGTAAAAACTGTTACATTACTGTCCAGTAATGAACGTGAATGCGTTTTGTTGTTTATAAACGCCTGATGATGGTCGTAAATGAACGGAACATGTAATAAAAATAACATCTTAATAAACTAATTGATAATTTGAGTATCAGTTATTTATTAAAAATACAAAAATTGTTGTGATCGACGGACATATTTACGTAATTGTGAAATTATATATGCGAAAATTTCAGCGATTTGCATTTCGTCATTTGTCCTTTTAAGTAAGCTCAATAAACATCAAAGAATTCTGTGGAAAATTCTGTGCACTAAGTTGTAGAAAACACACGTCCCAATCTTGTTGTATCCCCATTTCATTCCTGGTTGTTTCAGCCACGTATCAGTTTCAGTCATGAGTGTTCGAGTGCAGCAGCTAGAAAATTTGCTTACGGACCCATTTTAGTTGTTTAAGGCCTTTTTTTTTTTTTTTTCTGATCATCGTAAAATAGTATTATAGTATTCACCATAGAAGAAGAACATGTTTTTAAAAATGTTTTTAATTTTGATTTTTAGTATTTCGTATATCCCCCTCTTTATTCAGTTTTTGTTCATTTTTCCAAAAATCCTGGTGGAGGGCAGACGCCTGACCCCACCTTTGCTGTCGCGCCTAACGTCTGAGTGAAGTTTCTGCTCAGGTGAATTTCCTGGCAGACACGTGACACGTGCAACTTATCGCCTCACACGACCTTGTGAAATTCGATCCAATCCATTCATTGGTATTTATGACGTCATGCCTTTAGGTTAAGCTTCAGTTTTATGGCGTTCAGCGATACATTTCGAATAAAATACAAATTCACACTTGGCCGGCATGTTCTAACGGTTTATTCTTGGAACCTAACATCAGCTGTGCATCTGTTTAGAACACGGCTGCTGATCAGATTAAAATTTGGGGAAATACTACGTAAAAGAGCCACAATGTCAGAGCACATGCCGTAGGAGGGACTGGTATCCGTTCACTCGGAAATCAAGGCCGACCACTGTTAATAACCATGCCCAGAGGCAGTTCCAGTGTTTCGGGCCCCAGCTTAAATGAGATATAAATACTGAAATAAAAAATACAAAATTCGTGTTATGCTTGCTTCAAACATTTGGTCTATAGTCCGGAATGGTTTCATGTCATCATAGCTGTTCTGTAATATGATGACAGTTATATAAGTAAAATATAATGTAATATAATGTAATAAATATATTAACTTCCATACTCGTTAATCAGCAAAATGGCAGATCAGATATGAAATTGCTTAAAGACCAATAATATGATACTGTGCTGCCTGGTCAGAACCATCACACACCTCAAAAATTTTCATGTGACTGAAACCGTTATTGGTGTCATAATTTCTAAAACACTTTTATATACTTGATGTCCATCATGTTTAGACTACTCTCAGTTAATGGCCATGATATTAACAAATGATCAATGGGTATTTAAAAGAGAAGGATCGAGTCAAAAAGTTTCCCATCTAGGCTTTCTTGGGAACATTGTGTTTTTCATCTTTTTGTGTATAGGTACAATATAAATGAACGTGTATAAAATTTATTTCTGATGTGTGGGAAAGAGATGAATGAGTTTTTGCAAACAAAGGCAGAATCTATAGGAGTAAACCATAAAGATATTAATGAAAGTCACCCTCACCAAAACAGGCCATGAAATTCACGCAAATATACATACTGCATGTTCCCCCACACACTCTTTCTGTACTACCTTAATGTAAAAGGTAAAAAGCTATCCCTGTAACAGACCATTGAGGTGCATAGAGTTATGAAACTTCAAGGCTCCCACATTTTCTAGACAATTGGCTCACAGATGATGGTGAGACTGTCAGCCATATGTGCCGGCGGCCCTTTACTCCAGGAAGATTCCTAGTACTCGTTTCTGTTAGAGCCTGAGTCAACCCCCAGAGCCATACTGCAGTTGAAAGTATTAGGTCGATGGGAAAAATCCAGTAACCTCGTTGTTAATCGAACCCACAACCTTCTGGCTTGTAACATAGTGCCTCAACCCACTATGCTACAGTGTGCCTCACTATCTTAATGTAGTAGACTATAATACAAAATGCATTATACAGGAAGGTTCTTACCTTTGTTGACCCGTTCACAGTGACCAGTGCACTGCCAGCTGCAAGGTGCATACAAATTTTGCCAATGAATCAGTATGGCTGTTGGCCAATAACGTTCAGAATGAAGTATTTACAGTTCACTGATCACAGGAGGTGCTGAAAATGTTGTCCCTGTCAATTGCAGATCTGTTTTACCTTCAATGACAGACTGTAGAGACCAACTGCAAAAATGAACCCTGCTAGTTGGATCACGCGGCTGCAAGTCGTGGCTTGGGGCTAAGCTTCAGCAATTGTGTTGCCCTTCTTGAGCTAGATGTTAAGTCCCATTGATCTAAGTGTATTCACCAAATTGTGATTTGTTTGCCTTGTTGCATATGTAGGAGTGAGAGTACTTTTATAATTGTGTACTGTATTTTGTATTCCGTAAATATTCTTTCCAAGCTGTGGACCGGCTTGCAACCAATGCATAGACTAAACAAATGTGTGTGTGTGATCTTCTCCCCTTCCACACATGTGTGAAGGACAGAACCCAGACTGATTGGGGTACAAGGGCAGACTGCAGCTTGGAGGTGAAGGCGAGACACAAAGAGTCTGATTCCAGTTGTCACAAGGGCTGGACGAGCAGGACTGCGGCCTCACCCCTTGTAGGGAATATTTAAAGTGCCCACCTAATTCTGCTTCAGTTACCTAGCATTACTCTTACAATATAGCACTGTTAAATCCCATTGCTTCTTGTTGCCTGTTCACTTAATCCCACCCCCTTACATCAAATCGCTCACCGCTCAGCAAACCTGAGTATCCCTGAAATACTGGGATACAACAACCTGCTGGGAACTCTTTCATCACTAAATTTACTTCAAAACTTTCGTTGACACTTTCTCTTAATCCATATATCATGTAGGTGCTATACAGAAATACACATTAGTCTGAAGTATACTGCACCCTGACGGAACACACTGCTCACTAATTGTAACTGAGAAAAATGGCCAATGGAGTTGATAACGGTGGCCCACTGCTGACAAATCATAAATTCCCATGCATGAACCACACTGTTGACCATGAAACATAATGCAGTCAAGCGATCCACAGCACAGAAATCAGATGTTCAACAATGTTAATCCCACAGCCTGCAACTGGAGTGGCTCTGTGCCATGGAATCCAAGTTTACACCTTAAGACCATTTTCATTATGACAGATTTTCTGGTCTTCTGCATTTTCTGAAGTTTCATTTTCCAAGAGTTTTTTTGCCATCAATGTCCTGTACTTATTTCTTGTTTAACCATGATTCTGACGTTGCTGATGTTGATAATATTGCATCTATTCTGTTGCATTGTCTAATTTGTATAATACTAACAAAGAAATACAATAAATGATACAAACTCCGTCTCAAGTGCAAACAATATATTTTGTGTCTTTTGATTTTGTCTCCTACACTACATGTTTCGGCCTCAGACGGCCATCATCAGGTGTATATCACTCACTTCGCTGTCACACTGCACCCAGTTCAAAATTTAACATCTAAATACTCTCCCTGTCATTATCAACTTCTACTTCGTTGATAGCTGTCCACCCGTAGATTACTTCACACACGTTAATTTTGACTTTATTGTAATAGCACCATAATAAAATCTTTAGTTCTAATTTTAAAACTTTAAATTCTTGTCCAAATTTTAAAATTTTAAAATTGTTAGGGTTATTCGCCCTGTGTTTGAAGTGCTGCAGCGGCTAGTTCTTGTTTCCACACTGTATAGGTGTTATCCTGTGT